AATATCGCAAATCAAAGAAAAATCATAATGTTGCAATATCATCACCAACGCATCCACACCGACACATCTGCAAACCACCACCTCCTCACACAACCAAACTACACACCACCTCCTCACACAACCAAACTACACACCACCACCTTCACATCCATACACCATCACCTCCTCATCATACAACCACACTACACACCACCACCTCCACACTACAAACCACCGCGTCCACACCACACAACTCTCCTACACCACCACCACACCACACCAACACAACCACACACCACCACTTCCGCACCACACAACCACCCAATACCACCACATCAACACATCCATACACTACACCACGCCAACACACTACGCACCAACACATCCGCAAACCACACCACTACCTCCTCATCACACCTCCACACTCCAAACTACCACCTCCACACAACACCACCTCCACACCATACACCACCCGACACCACCACACCACATCCACACCACACACCAACACATCCACAAAACACACCAACACGTCCTCATCACATAACCACCCTACACCACCACCTCCACACCACACCAACACATCCACACACCACAAGCTCCACACCACACAACCACCCAACACCATGACACCAGCACATCCACACAACACACCACATACAACCACATCCTTAAACCACACCATCACATCCTCATCACACCACCACCTGCACACCACACCAACTCCCCTGCACCACCACCTCCACTGAATTGAAAATAGCAAAAAGAAAACCCATAACTAATTTGTGCCTATTTTAGTGGTAAACAAATTTTGAATTACAGTGAAATGCACACTGAAATTCCAACTAAAAAAGAGAAATATACATCCAGTTTTCCCACTGAAATACCAAATAATTGAAAATAGCAACATACAAACTCAGCATAAAATTCCAACTTAAATTCATAATTCATTCATCTAGCCCATATTCAACACATTAACAACACCCAAAATATTGTTATTAACAAATCCAGTACCAACATTCATCCATTTTTCAAATTCCCCACTAAAATATCAAAGTTCATAAAAAAACTCAAATTCCCCGCAGCATAAACACCAATAGAAATTAAACATACCACATATAGGGCACAAGTAGCATTGCTAACAAGAAAAACACCAAAAAATCCAACGATCACCGCAAAGCTCAGATATATCCAACATTGCATGAAAGACATCAACCAAAACCCTTATGGATGCAACATGAAGCATCAAAACCACATAACTGAGCAAACAAAAATGTAACCAACTAGCATAATCGACACAGCCACACAGAGAAGAGAGAAAAAGAGGTGAAGAACATAGAAGACCGTTAGAAGAGGGAACACCGCACAGAGGCAGTTAAGCACACAACCACCAAACCGAGCCCAAGAAGAAAATAGAGGGGAACAAAGAATACAAATCTCAACGCAATAACTACCAAGCCAAGAAAGTGAACTACCAAACTGAAAGACTTCCTCCACCACACATAACAAAGAGTGCACAAACCACCACAATTCGAGCGGAAGAAAAGAGGAGAGGGAGAAGAATATAAGGTTCACATGAACAACCACTCGCAACCCAAAATAGCCAACCGTAAACAACGTCAAGCCACCAGAGCCACAATCCCCGGGAGAGAGATACCTAAGGCAAGAGAATCGCGACAGAGAGAGCGGGGTCGAGAGAGACGAGAAGAAACGTAGCTCGTGGGGTTGAAACCACGACCATGTTTAAACGAATTATTTAAAAAATGTCATAGTGACGCGAAAACCTAATGCCAAAAATTGCGATCGGTCCACGTGTCACGCAAATTCAGCAGTGCCAAACGGACCCTAAGATTAGAACATCAGATGGTCGACGTTTGACGTGACCAAACTATCTAAGACGACTCTCTCTAATTTTGTCTGTAACAGGAGCTAAACCAACCCTTTGATGAATATATTTGTTTCACATTTTTTTCTCTAAGTGTAAAGCCACTCATCCACCTAAGCAATCTCATCTCTTCAACACTTAACTAAGTTTTATGTTTCACTTTTAAAGGCCAACATTTTGCGTCATAAAGCATTACAGGTCAAACCACCATCTTATAAAATTTTACTTATAAATTTAAGGAGTACTTTCTATCACTTAATAGGTTAAAAAAAATTTATAACATATAAAAATAAAGTAATAATAAAAAAATTATTTAAAATTTGATTGCTAAAATAATCTTAAAAGTTAATAGCTGCAATAACTTTAAACATGAAATTCGGCTTAGAAATTAATTTAGATCAATTTTCAACAGTCAGACTAATATGGAGCAATTTAAAACCGCATGACTAAATTGGTCACTTGTTAAAAGTAGTATAAAAATAAAGTAATAATAAAAAAATTATTTAAAATTTGATTGCTAAAATAATCTTAAAAGTTAATAGCTGCAATAACTTTAAACATGAAATTCGGCTTAGAAATTAATTTAGATCAATTTTCAACAGTCAGACTAATATGGAGCAATTTAAAACCGCATGACTAAATTGGTCACTTGTTAAAAGTAGTAGGACTATTATGAGCTTTTGCTCTTATGAAAAATAATAGAAATTATATTCAAATGATGTGATTAGCAAACTAAATTAAATGCATATATATTTAATGCCCAAGGGCTATTTTTATTGAAATTGAAAAGGTACATAAAAGTTGTATGAGAGAACCCAATAAAGGCGCCCTACTCATACGATACACAAACACTAACATCCTGAAAAATATAAGACATAGATAAAACTCTAAAATTCATAACTCGCAGAAAATCAGTTGCTAGGGACGAGCCAGCTTGGTCCTGTCTCTGCCTCTAGTTCTAGGAACAAAGCCAGCTAACAAATTACTGAGTGTCGTGTCATTACCCGAAGTTACTAAAGTATCATCCATTAAGTTCCAAAGTTGGGGTGTGCCTCTATTCTTCTTTTTCTTCCTAGATGTGTATACCTGTCATTCCTCATCCGAAGACTGACTCATCTAATCAATGTGATCAACAGATTGTCGGGCATATAGAAGAGGATGAGCCTCTAGCTCCTGATTAACAGTAACAACATTCTCATTCTGAAGCGATGGTAAATATGTCTCCTCAGCATCTGATGCTTCCTGAGGTTGTAGAGCTGCGATACTATCCTGATTATCGGACCGAAGAATACCCTTTAGAGGTAAGGATCTTGCAGTATTGTTTTCAGCAGTGATAGAGACTGTAGGATGCCCAAGTGAACTATCTGTCAATACATCAGTGGAAGAACATAAACAGTATTGTCTCCGGTAGTGGGAGGGAGAGGTGACATCGTGTCAACCGGTGTTTCAAAAGTCTGTGGAATACACTCGGGGGCGGAAGAGGGACAGATATGAAGTGGGGTAGATCCAGTAGAATTTTTTACTCTGAGGTTTTAGATTTGGATGCAAATGATAACATTGAGAAAGAGAGTGTCCAAACATCCGACAGTGGGTGCAAACATCGGCAATGTGTCGACCATCCAATTTACCAATCTTCCAACCCCTTTCAGCTTCATTTGCTTAAAATCCTTTCGAATTAGCTCAAGTTTAGGGTTTCCATAAAGAAACTTACCTACTAAAAACAGTCGGCAGGGCGCATCTAGGGTGGAGATCTCGGCCTCTGTGAGAAAGATTGCAGGTCTGTCATTTTTATGGGATGTTTTTTTGAGGAATCCGGTTTCAACGCCAAGAGCAAAAGTATCGTGATAACTTTGCGGAAACATTTTTTAAAGAGGGGCGGGAGAGGGGTTATCATCGGCGAGGGGGGCGGCGTAAGAAAGAACCCTTGAGGCCATCACCTTGGTCGGTGCTTCACTGTGTGCGCACTGTTGCTGAGCAGAGTCTGCAACCGAGGATGAATGCACTCGACGTAAATGACAAGAAACAACGATGTGCGACGAGGGAGGCAGCGACAGCTCGAGCCCGAGGACCGACCTGCTCAAACAGCGGTTTCGGTTTGAGTGGGAAGCTGGAAACTGGAAGCTGGAAAGCGCTGCGACCAGTACCGAGCGCGACGACTGAGCACGATGCAGCAGACGACGCACGAGCAACAACAACAGACTACGCACGAGCAGCAGCGACGCACTTTGACAACAGCGACAACAGCGAAAATGACGGAAATGGCGAAATCGAAAGAGCAGATCTTGATCGACGAAGGGCTACAGTGGAAAAATAACTAAGGATCGCCATGGCGAAACCCTTTGGTTCTGCATTGTTGAGCTCCTCGTATCCCCTCTCGATTGCATATATATATATAATCAAAATATTTGCTTTTATTATCATTCGACTTTATTTATATTTGTTTATATTTTTATCCAAGCTGGTTTCACTATTCAACTTAATTTAATTATTCCAAAGTTATAGAATTCCAATATTCTTACTTAAAGAGTGTGTTAATTCACACTATTCAAAAGTTTAAATCATTAGCTTATTCAACTTTAAATAAAACTTATAGGAAAGAACTGAAAATGAAATATAGTAGCATAAAGAAATGATACTAGCCATGTGATTTGTAGTTTAAGGCATTCTTATTCGCTATCAAAATGTCATTGATGGTGATTTTTTATTAAAAATTTCTATGTCGTATTATTAAATTATTAATGAACTATCCAAATTTTTTAATGTTTCACACTAAGTTTAAAATAGCACGTGTTATACCATGCACTGTGACATAACTCCAAAAAACCTTTTAACCTATGATACATTGTATTCACCGTTGACAGGTATGGGGAGAACCAAATAGTGAGATGGTTGAACTGTGGTTAGACGATGTGAATGTTTGCCCAAAATTAAAATCATTGGGAAGATGATAGTTGTTTGATCATAGAAAATTAAGGTAGCATGATCCTTGCTTTCTATAGTAATTAGAAAATCAAAACTCTGCATTTGCTACCATTTCAGGCAGAATGACCAAAAGAATAAATATAAACTACAACAGAATAATTAATTATAGAAAATGACCAAGTATAAGATGGAGACCAAGACCAAATCATATTACCTGTCCATATTCCCTAGGCAGAGGCATCCTTCGACCAAAAAAAGAAAAAAAAATAGAGTAAAAGTTAAGCTAAATGTATGAAACAACACATTTCGTAGAAAACAAATACAAAAGACTGTTAACCTCCTTGCTTGGTCAGGAATAGGAACGAGGTTTTTAACAAAAGCCTCTGGAAAACTCTCGAATCTCTTCTGAAGCATTTCAATTGAGCGAATCTATCATATAATTGAGATGCAAAAGTTAAGAAACTTCCACCAAAAAAAGAAGGAATCAGCCAAACAGCTTTAGCCAAAAAAAAAAAAATATATTTAGCCCGTGCATGGGAAAAACACTGAACTTATATCATAAGACCTAGTTTAGCATAATCCATTAAGGTAAAATGATTAAACAAGTTATCACCTCCCCTAATCTAGCCCGTGCACCCATCAGGCCACCAACGAGGGCTGACATAAGGGTATACCATATATGGATATCCATCAGGTAGATCTACAGAAAACAAATTATATTAACAAATTAAAATTCAGAAATTATTGAATTTTAAGAAAAATTTTGGAAGGTAGATAAGCTCCACAAGTTAAAGCGCCAATCCTAAATATGATGCAAACTGCCAATGATGTAGCCAACAAAAGTTTCAGCTGAAATATTCTCGATTTAAGGAAATTAGACACTACAAATGCTCTTAAAAATCAGAAGTCGGCGGTGACAAAAGATACTTACTGCAAAAACAGGCGCCCAAAGACTGAGGATAGTTAAAGCGTTTTTATTTCCTATAAAAACAGAAAACAAAACTTATTAGTAATTTAAGCAAGTTTGCATATCTATTACCATTTCAATAAGGTCAAAATCAAATAACCGTTATCACATAATAACTTCTACAAGTTAACAGTAATTGTTACAAACAAAGCAGTGGGAAATCAAACAGTCTTCCAGTATACAAGCAGGACTGCACAAGAAAAGAAAACACAAACCTTTTGAGACGAGATCATGCCAAGAGTACCTTAGCCCTTGCAGATCTACAATTATCTTAGTTGGTTCCACAAGGGGGTGAATCTGAAAGAAAGATTACATAATAAACTGCATCAATGATAAAATTGTAAACAGTCATGTAATAGTTATAGTACATTGACGTAGAAATTGTTCACCACATTAAAAAGAATAATAAACAAATTAAAGTACATCCAATACAGAGAAACCGAAAGCCCAGACCTGGAGATAGTATGCAAAAGTAAATTTGCAAGCAAATATCGCCAACCAAAAGGCCACATATCTGTAATGCAATTAAGGATGAGAAAATGGCAATGTTTTCGTCAGTTTGACAAACTATTGAAAGAAAAAAAATAAGGAATGCACATCTCAGGTAAAAGACCTTGTACTTAGGGAATGAAATGATCATGGAACAGAAAATTAAAATAGGTATCCAATATTACGAAGTTTTAACAAAAGTATATGTTCTCTAAACAATGTATCAAAAATCAACATCAGCTTTATACCAATAAATTTCCATTGTCCACAAATTCAAGTTTAAAGTTGTCTAACCTGTGAAGTTTATTTCTCACAAATACTTCTGCATAACTACAATTTAAGACACCATTGGCAAACTAATATTTTTTGCAAATTTTTCACATTCGATTCGCTTTGTTGGTGGTTTTCCACCTTCCGATGTAAGAACCCAAGCTACCCCAGGATGACTCATTTTTCAATAGAAAAAATCAAGACTAAAGTTTATTGATTGAAATTCTTTGAGTCGCACATCTACAGAACATAGTTTTTTTTAAGTAAAAAATATTAACAAAAAAATAATATGAATACAACAAAGACATTTACCAATAAAAAAACGGCCCAGGCGAAAAGAAATATGTGTATTAATTTGGATTATCTAACATTAATCTTTGTAAAAGTAAAAAAAAAAAACAAGAAGAGGCATTAAATTTTCTTCCACTTCCAGCATCTTCTAACATAAAGAACATGAAATCTCTTATTCACCGCACCAAAAGCAGGCCACAAACTTGGAAACAAAAGGCAAGAAAGCAGTGATCAGATTTACGAAATATAGTTAAACTCATTCACAACTCTGTAGTCATGAGTTTTAAAAAAGTGTGAAACATTACAAATAGTCTTGAACTAAAAAAGATTAATAAACAATTGTCCGAATAACATCCATGGAAATAAGAAAATAAAAGATCACCTTGATATGAGCAACTACCAAAATAAGTAGTGAATAACAGATGTGCTAGGAAAGAGAAAGGGGTAATAAGCCTAAGCAAAAATCGCTTGTCTTTTCAAGGATATAACATAGTTATAAGTAATACTAAATGAAATCTTGAAAATAATAGCCGAATAAGATAGTTTTACAAGACCAACACCGACGAGAGAGTATCACTCCTGCTGATGCAGTTAAGTCATGGCAAACTCCATTAAAGGAAATCATAACCTGGGGTTCTAAGAAAGATTATTTTATGGAAAGAAATATTGGATTTCTCTTCTCAGCTTTTAGCCAACTCCACTGCCATCTTACACCCTAATTTCCTTGATATCCATATTCCCTCCTCGAGTCCCTACCTTCAATAACTGCTCTGTTTTTTTTTCTTATTACACTAAAACAACAAACCAAATGATTTGAGAAGTTGGAAAAACAAAACAAAAAATAGTGAATTTCTAAAACTAGTCTAGATAAAATATTTTCATTTAATTATTTACCTGGTGATGTGAAGCACCCTTCCCAGACAAAAGTTCCACATAGGCTTAGAGATTTTGAGGCACATCACGCAAACCTAAGCTAGTAGCACCTCCTTATCCCAAAAAGAAAAAAGAAAAAGGTAAAATATCATGAAATATATGCTCACCGATAAAACAAAAAAACAAAGAAATGTTGAATTTCTTTGGGCATGACAACATTGTTATCTTAAAAAGAAAGGTTCAGCCTACCAATTAGTTTCAATATGCAGATACTCTGGCATGGGGCTTGGGGAAAAACCGACCATAACAAGTTAAGCATGAAAGGGTTCGGTTCAGC